ACCCTGCCGAATGGTCCTGGAAGAGCCACTCTTTCCATCTCTAATGTGACAACAGAAGATTCTGGACAGTACATGTGCATCGCAAAACATCTGAACAACACCCTGAAGAAAAGCATTGATGTCAAAGTGATGTGTAAGTAAATTTGATGACTTTGTATTTTAGATAGTAAATGAATAACACTATATATTTAAATTGTATATCTTAATGAGTTAGCATAGAGACTCGTTCTACTAAGGCCATGACATTCATCCTGAATAACTTCCACAGTGCTATACTTTGTAATCTATAGTTTATATTAATTATATATAGCACGCAATGTCATCCATTCATTATGGCTGCCATTTTTAATTTGATTAGAATTCTTAAAAAGTTACTACAAATACCAAAGAAGTCATTTGAAATTGCTCTGCTGGACTAATTATATTTGCATGTATACGTATATTGGACAGATATTCACATGTACTATAAGTAATGTAGTATTTAAATTGCATACATATTTATTTTAAATGTTTTATGTGTTTTTTTTTTACTTTTTTGTCAAAAGCTCAAATCTAAAATGTGTTTCACAGACCTGAGGAAACCTGGGATCACTGGGAAAACAAGTGTAAAGGAGGGAGATGTTCTGAATCTGACCTGCAGTGCTGAAAGTTTTCCACCGTCTCATGTCATGTGGACTAAACTCGGTTCCAACAAAACTCTGCACAATGTCAGTGAGAACAGCACGAGACCAGCCACACTTTTTATCCCTAACATGACAGCAGAACATTCTGGGCAGTACATGTGTACAGGAAAAACCCTGGACATGACTGTGACTGTACATGTTGATGTCACTGTGACTTGTAAGTAGAAAGTATTTTCCATCTTGAAAATGCAGTTTACATTTACACAACACTACCAGGTTAATTATATTTGTTTTCATTCTGTTTATATTTTTAAAGGGATTTCAAAGATTCAAAATGTCTCTGGATGTGAGGCTCAGTCAAACGTCCTGACCTGTGTGTGTATCAGTGAGGGGGTTCCCTTACCCACCATCAAATGGCCACTGTTGAAGAACCACACTGAATACTCCGTCATTACCACCGTGTCAAACCACACAGTCAACAGCACAGTCGTCCTAACTGTAAAAGACCACAGTAACATATTTGTTGAGTGTGTCAGCAGCAATGATAATGAAGAAGCAAAAGAAAACCTCACCATCCGAGAAAAACAGTCAAAAGGAGACGGTGCGTGTTCTGAACTAAACACTTCCTCTACTTTAGACCTTTTTATTACTGTGGTTTGCATGTTCAGATGACCAATAGGTAAGCTGTTGCATGTTTTTAGTGTGATGACATTAACGTCCACATCTTTAATTTTTCTTCCTGATTGCAGATCAAGCCAAAACATTTGTAGCAATAATTTCACGGTGGGACATCATCACTGCCTTTTTGATCGGTATTCTTCTTTCAACAATCGTCTGCTGTTTGACAACAAAATGCCACAGGTACATTGTTAATTCCATTAATTAACATCCAGCTGTTGTTATTGGATAATATTTACATGTAATTTCACATTTGTTGATGTTTAAAAATATTTTTGTCCAGAAGAAAACCGAAGAGCTCTGGAAATCTGGATGAAACTCTGGAGATGATGAGCAGTCATGCAGATCTGGTATTTATATCAATATTATATCAAATATTATATTGTGTACATTTGTATTGGTTTTCTTCAGAACTGTCTCCAATGTTTAATGTATGGAGATAAAGTATTCTGTCTCTCTTTCTTTGTTAAACAACCTCATGTTTTAGTGCTTGTTTTGCAAATACTGTCAGCAGAGTAAAAGTGAAAAGTATTCCAGCAGTAATGTTACTGAATGTTACTAGTCAGCTCATAACAAATCAGTTGATGAATGAATTACTAATGAAGCATTGTAGTACTGGGATTTAAGCGCTGTATTGATTTTCTAACCAATCTGCAGATTACACACTGACCTTATACACCAATCAGCCATAACATTATGAC